TTCCTCTTTTCATTCACTGACCTCTGGACTTTCTTGCCTTAGAACAGGAAGGTCCTGGAGGGGATCTGAGCCCCATACCTGGACCTTTCCACCTTAGGAAAGAGGCTTGTGAGGTTGGGATGGGGTCCCAGGGTGAAGTCCTTTGCAGGACTGGGGTCTTGGGGACCCTGGGAAAGAAAGTCCGAATCACAGTCCGTGAGCGGATGTCCTCTACCAGGGCTTTGGGGACTGGGTGCAAGGGAAGGTCAGGCGGCCAGCTATCCAAAAAGAGCCTAGAGCGTGAAGGCCACCCTCCCCTATCCCACCATCTTTTTTTTTTTCAAAGGAAAGGGGAGGTCCAGCAACTTCGAAAGCAAACACAGCCTTGCCTGGAGCAGCACCTTCGCCCGCTAAACCTGGTGACTTGGGTGGCTGCGAGCCCAGCTCTCTTTAAACGCGGGCGGGCGGGAAATCCGCCCCATCTCCAATCCTTCTGCCCTTTCAGCCTTTCATGAGCTCTCTCTTTTCTCTCCTTAACACTCCCCACCCCAAAAGCTAAGCTTCGCTTTCTACAAGACTTTAGCCACGTTTTTAAGAGAATGTGGACCAAAGAACACAGTTCTAACAGCTGGAATAAAATGTCAGTTCCTCAAACGCCTTAGGTTCATTCATTTTTTTTCTATGACACCATCCCCGCCACCTTCCACACAAAAACCAACTAAGGCATGAACCAAAAGATACTTCTTCCACTCACTGGAAATTACAAATCAACAAACAGCTAGCTAGGAGTGGTGGCTGAAGCCTGTCAAACCAGGGAGACCGAGGCAGGAGGATTGCCTTGGGCAACATAGTGAGCTCCAGATCAGCAAGGGCTACACAGTCAGACCCTTCCTTGTCTCAACACAGATACCACTTGCTGGTCTCCTTTCCACTTAGCCACACCAAATGTGAAAATTTTTTAATGGTTTTAAAAAGTGTATTGACTAGTCTGTCCCATGCTGTCTTTGTCAACTGGCTGTTACACATTGAAAGGCAGAATAAACAAATTGCTTAAAAAACTGAAAACTACTCTCACACATGAAATACTCAAATATCTATGAAGGTAACTTTAAAAGATTAGAAACTCAGAACATTTGAATCAAGATTCTCCCAATTGCTAATGTGATGTATTTCAACCCCAAAACATGATAATACTAAGACCACCAAAAGCCATGGCATCAACACTTTGAATGAGTTAGTGATAGAAACTGCAATTCTTCCCTCCCTCCCTTAAAAGTTCTCCAACTGAGAAACCAGAGTAAAATTTTATCTTTCTAAGTTAGGTCAGAAAACCAGGGGTTACAGAAACTTAACGATGCTGTCAAAGAACAGTTTAAAACACTCATGAAAGTATCATCTTCAAATAATAACCATTAGGTTAAGAACCTAAGGGCTTTCCAGCAATAAAGCAAATTCGGTTCATGAATTTGTAAAATTAATTTCTAAGTGGAAATTACAATGGAGGGACAGAATCTCAGTATCTGCCTTTCCTCCAAAAACTAAAGAAAATTTTGAGACCACCATTTTTTCACTTAAAAAAAAAAAAAACTAGCCAGGCGTGGTGGAGCATACCTTTAATCCCAGCACTGGGGAGGCAGAGGAAGGAGGATCTCTGTGAGTTCAAGGCCAGCCTGGTCTACATAGTGAGCTCCAGGACAGCTGGGGCTACAAGGAGACCCTGTCTCAAAAAAACCAAAAAAAAAAAAAAAAACTAACCTAACTAGAAATTCTTTTTACTAAAAGGGAGCTATAAATAGTTTCTATTTTAAACTTACTCAGTGAATACAGGCCGAATTATGTTTCACCTTTATGTGAGATAACTTTCTTTTGGATTTAGGTATCAATCCATAATTATAATCACTGAAGTAGAAGAGCCTGAAAAAGCCCACTGTGGTATCTATCTTTCAACCTTCCTCCTTTCATTTCAGCCACTAACTGTAAGCTCTTTGCTTGTTTCCTCTTTGATTAAATGCAAACCTATTTCTGAAGGTAAAGTTTTAGCTTGTTTTGAAAAGATTTAGTGAGCCAATTATTTCTTCAAAGTTTCTACAGTTCACTTTAAAAAAAAAATCCTGTCCTTTACAAAAACAGCCTTCACAGGTTTTTTTTAAGTTGTTAACATCAAAAAATTAAACTATAAAATAGGAACCATGTTAGAATATACTTTTTAGAATTTTCACTCTTATATAAATGGAAAAGATACTAATTTTCATTTTAATCATTAGCTTACCTCATTTTAAATTAAAGAGGGACCATTAACTACCTAAAGAAATCATCAAACGTGGAGCCACACAGAAACATGCAGGACAGCTTTCATATGTTTTTGGTGGCACTAGCTGACAATAAATGATGCAAGGTTTAGAACACATTCCTCTAGAAAAAAGCAAACCTCAGTGGCAGGTGTAACAAAAGTTAAATCTCTTAGAAAAGTAAATCGTTTCTCTCCCTAAACAGGTCTCACTAAGATGGCACCGCCTTATCTCAACTATTCTCAAGTCCCTTGGAAGAAAGCACATCTATACACACACTCCACAGCTGTCTTAAAGATGGCTTTTGGTTTCTCTCTCTTCTATCAACGTTTGACAGTGAATGTATACAAAAGCCAAAATTGTTAACCAAATTCCAACACTGGCTAAAAGTTGTTGGAGAAAGTAACCGTGAAATTTACAATCTCCCATTTTAAAAATTCAAAATATTTGCTGCTTTTCAGTTAGTCTTTAATCTATTGGAGTTTTTAAAAGCTATAAATTACATTTATTAAATGACCTCAAAGGGGAAACAAAATACAGTTTATACTTTTAAATCAAGTCTGCACAGAGCACCTTCTGTAATATACCTTTTGTTTAGTTCTCCCCTCTTAAGGAGGAAAAAAACAAGAATGTTCAGGTAATAAAGTTTTTGAGCCTCTTTGAAATGTAAATCATAATTCATTTCCAACTGGCTATACCAAGAATTCTATTTTAAATGATGAAAAAACAATACATATACATGAAATACATCTCTGTAGTGGTTCATTTTGCCTGGAATATGTTAGTTATTACCAAATTTCTCTTCTGTACATCCAAGAGATTGAAAAAGTCAGCAACAAACTCAACTGAAGGAACTTTCAGACACAGAGAAGACACAACATGCTTCCTCAAAGAACACAAAGTAATGAAAACAAACCTTCTATTTTTTAAAATGCTGAATTTCAAAAATTGATTCGTGAGAGAAAAATAAAGCCCCTTCTCATCATCATTACCCAGAAAGCAAAAAGACAATTGACTCAATGCTTAGATTCAGAAAATTTTCAGAAAAGGGGGCCACACACGAAAGATCTAATTTAATATGGGTGTGAAAAGGGGATTTAAAAAAAAAAAAAAAAAAAAAAAACTTAGTTTCCTCACAAACCTCTTTTCCATTCCAACTCAAAAGAGCCCTCAGTAGTGCATTTTGGAGGGAACAAGGAGCCTAGAAATGGCTTAAAAGCAAGCAGATGGCTTGAAGAAAAATATCCATAAATACAGGGCACCATGAAAATTAAAATATAAATGTTTTGCATTCCATCCAACCACATTTTGCCATTTCTCTAGCTTTTCAGTTTTTTTATTTAATCTTAAACCATTCTCAAGTAAAGGAAAAAAATGTTCATATATTTCAGAATTCCATCAACACAGCTTTAAATTCAAATATCCATAATCTTCAAGAAACCTGTTATCAAAATAATAAGATTTCTCTCCTTCCAATTTTATCACTTCTTCGCTCTTAATTCTAATTGCCTTTCCAATAAGACAGCATTTTTCAAGCATTTGGAGTTAAATCACAGGCTCTATAAGCATGAACAACAAGCCCTATTGATCATCTATAGATATAATAATTCCAAGTTACATCAGTGATGGTTAGTTTAACTTTCTAGTTTTAAAAAGCTTCCTCCCCCACCCCAACCCCCCAAGAGTACAGCACACACACACATTCCCACCTAGAAAAGGCCAGAAAGGAGTTTCCAGTTGAAAAGGGAGTTGAGGGGGATCAAAGATGTACTTAAGTCTGCTTCCAACTAAGGACAGAAAACTGCACTGTCAACATGTTTAAAAGTCTGATGTGAGAAACACTGCCCTTACATTTCACAGCCAAGTTCAACCAAAGATTTCAGAATTCAAGGAAGACCTGAAATCCACCATGATGGAGACATCCCATCTTGCCTTAAGAGACACGAGAGGGTAATGGAACACAACACAGTGCGTAGGCACACACACGCACACACGCGCACACACACACACACACACACATATTCATCCACGGAGTTCTAGACCCTCCAAAGAGCCCCAGCTCACAGCCTGAGCACAAAGCTCTCACCCCAGATGGTCCCTTCTAACAATGGGCTGAAGGAGTGGGGGTTGGGGGTGGAAAGGGATAGTACAGCCAAAGCATATTCTTTGGAAACTCCAGTTGGGGATGGGGGCAGCATAAGATGTGAGGGGCTGGAAGGGGGGGGGGGGGGGGGGGCGAATCTATGACGGTTACAAAAAGATAAATAAAGCACTAGTATAAGGAAATTCTTGTGGGGGGCAGGAAGCTTATTATTCATCCCAGAAGATGTAAAAAGGGACTCTCCTAAATCCACTTACAAATTATGAGGTGGAAAAGGTTGAAAAAAACAGAAAAAAGGAGGGCTGGTAGGAAGTTGCAGAAATCGTTTGAACGCTTCATAGATTTGAAGTTTTCCTACAAAAATGGCTCCACACTTTGAATCAACTCCACTAGGCCTTATTCATTTTTTTCCCCTTTAATTTCTGCAAGTAACATCTTTTAGGTCACCCCAGACGCAACTTTTTTTTTAACAAGTTGTAAACCATCCATTGCAAGATCTTGGCCAATCTTCCCTCCCAGCCCCCAACATCCGGAGTTGGGGTTGGGAAGGCCGGTAATGGGTTTCTTCTACCAGAGACGCTACGGACCCCCGAACGCTCTTCTCAGCCCCCCAAGAAGAGCCCTCTTCCTACCTTTGTTTTTTGGGGACCGAATGTTCAATCTCTAGGCGTTTTCCTTGCAGTTCTACTTTCCCTGAAGATTGGGAAAAAAAAAAAAAAAAAGTATGAATGAGCTGTACAAGGGTGGGGGAATGGGGAAGGGGAAGGGGAAGGGATATTAGCGAAAATTCATTAGCAAAAATTCAAGAGTTCCTGGGATTCGAGCCCTTCCAAGGAATCCAAGAACTAGAAGCCTGAGGGGTTTGGGGGAGGGGGGCCGACCGTACTCTAAGAATGGTAGAACCCAGAATTTCGTTCTTTTCTGAATTTCTCTTTTATTTTGATTAATCACGTTGCTAGATGAATGGTTTGCTCTAGGAAGCCAGGCTGAGAAAAGGTGTGAGGCCATTTGTGTATACGCGCCGCTTCTACTTCTCCCAGAAGTAGGGGGAAGGAGCCAGGAAAAAAAAGGCACCCCGATCCCCGAAAAGTGGGGTGGAGAGTTGGTTACTAAACTTTATTTTTCGGCTGAGCCACGGAGAAGGGCTTCAGGCGGCGGGGCGGTCACCTGTCGGGGTCGGCGGGGCAGCGGGGTGGGGGGGCACGCGCGGCCGGGTGGGGAGGGTCCCCCGCGGCCGGCGCGCACCTCTCGGCCCAGCCTAGGCGTCTCGGGAAGCAGCATGGCGACTCGGCGCGGCCGCCGCCGCGCCACCCGCTCACGCCCCACTTTCAAATCAAAATGGCTCAAGCCCTCGGCCCTGGGCGGGAGCCCCTTCCTTCCACGTCCTGTCCGAAAAGAGCCGGCCGATCGCGGGCGGGGCGAGGACCCCCACCACGTCTACAGAGGCCTAGGGCTGAGGACCGGGAAGTGGGGGTGATCAGACTGGGGGGGCCGTCCAGTCCCGGGGAGGGAGGGGCCGCCGCGGCGAGCACGCCTGGACGGCGGCCTGCGTGTCCTTCAGACCCCCACCAGTGCCCTCGAGGGGCTCCCGCCTCGTCCGTGGGGTGGGAAGCCTCGAACTGCTGGGGCTGGAGAAGGCGGAAACCCCAAAAAGGTCTTCCCCGGGCAGGGGGCGTCGAGGGAGGTCAATCCGGGCTGAGTACCGAGGCCAAGTACCGCGGGCCCCAGGGAAGAGTTGGCGGGCAAGGGAAGAGGAGGTTCGGGTCTCCGTTGTTCCGGGATTTCCCGGTGCTTTTTCCGGGGAGGTGGCCGTGCTCTTACCCGAGAAAGTTTCGATGGCCTTCATCGCCCAGTGCTCGTCGGGGCAGTCCACGAAGGCGTAGCCAGACTTGACCAAGAACTGGCCGCTGTAGGAGATCTTGTGCTCCGCGAATACTTTCTCCAAGTCAGCGGGGGTCACGCTCTCGTTAAGGTTGCCGATGTAAAGCTTGTTCATCGTGGCGGTGTGCGCACAGGACCCGGTCCCGGGCGAGGCCGAACGGTAGGGCGCGGGCGGCGAGCCTCCTAGGCCGAGAGGGCAGCCGCAAACTTTCTGCGCGCCCAACCCGTTAAGTTGTCCGCAGCTCGCAGAGCGGAGGGCGGCCGGGGGCGCGCAAAGGGCGCGGGGGAGTTCGCGGAGAGCCGGGGAGAAGAGTCCGCGGCGCGCGGTGGGAGGCCGGACGACGCGGCGCGGCTCCTTCCTCCGGTCCGAAACCCCTGCGAGCCCGCTGGTGTGTCACGTTTCTCCGCGGCCGCCCTGGCGCCGCCTCTAAATAAAATCGACTTGAAAAAAAAAAAAAAATGGAGCAGAAAATAAAAAAAAGGCGAAGCCACGTGGTGACAGCCCCCACCCACCCTGCAGGGGAAGACCCCCGACGCCACTGGGCCCCTGGGCTCTCCAACCTGGACGTACCCAACAATGTCTCATGGGGGGGGTCATTCAGCGCACCCCAAGTCTAAACTAGAACGGTGGCAGCAGTGTCCCCGAAGCGCTCCTCTCCCCCTCCCCCTTTGCAAGAACCTGGCCCTAAGGGAGCGCCCCACCCCCACTCAGCTTCCCACCCTAGCCTGAACTGGGGTAGGGCGGTGGCGCCCCAAGTCTCCCCAGTCTCGGGAGTAAAACGTGCGATCATTTTTTATTCGTTTTTTGTGGGAATTGGGTTGCCCACCCCACCCCACTGAAACTGCTAGCGACTGACAGGCGGGGGACGACTGAGACAAAGAGAAGCCGAGGACTCGGGGTCTTCAAGAGGGGGTCGCACGGTTATTTGAAAGTGAAGACGCTTTCTCCCAATATTTCCAAGTCCCGGGTCTCCGCTTCCCCGCCACACCCCCACGCGCCTCCCGGGCCTCCAGGTCCAGAACCCCCGGACCTGGCGGGCGCGGGACCGGGGAGTTGAGAACACGGGGGACCGCGACAGGGAACGAGGGACACACACGCACACACACAGGGAAGAAAGGGTGGCTCGCACCCAGTCCGGCGGCTGAGTGACAGAAGTCCGGGGCTCTGGGGGGGAGAATCCGCGACCTCGGCCCGAAAGAACCCCAAAACACCATCCGGGTGGGAGAGAACGGAGAGGGGTGGTCGCGAGGGGGGAGGTTTGCGGGTGGACACCCGGAGGGTCCCTGTCCCTCCCCGACGCGAGGGGCGGACACGTGGAGCCCCGCGCCCACTCCACCCGGGACGCAGACGTGGGGTCTCACAACTTTGTTTGGGGTGCGGGTCTGAAAGGCAGCGGAGGGCGGGGGCCAAGCGCGAAGCCCCGCCCACGTCCCCAGGTCAGCCCCGCGGGGGGAGGGGGTAATTTCCGCTCGGCGCTCAAGGAAGCGAGGGGCGGGAGCACAGGGGAGGGGGCGGCTCTGCGGGCCGCGCCTGGGGAGGGGGAAGCGGATCCGCCCAGGTCCCTTCTCTCGCTCAGACCTTCTCGTGGCTGCTCCCGGAGCCCGGGAGACTGGGGACGGGGGGCGGGGGAGGTGAGGGGGAAACACGACTGGGCTAGGGGCGACACGTGGGCGGTCCCACCCCGTCTGGGCGGTGGGGGAGGGGGCCGCGCGCGGAGTCCCGGTTACGCACCGAGCGCGGGACGCGCGGTACACGCGCAAGCCCGGGATACCCAGCCCAGCGGACCGCGATACCGAGTTGCCAGCGCGGGGCTGGGATGGCGCCAGGGGGAGGCGGTGAACGGGGCCGAAGAATCCCGGAGCCCCCTGCCCCAACCATCCGAGAGAAGCATCCGGGAGAAGAGAGCGCCTGCCCCCTAAGAAAGCAGCAGTCTCCCCTGAACCGGGCGGGTGCTGGGTGTTTCGCGCGGGGTGGGTGATTGTCCGGGACACGCGTGCGGCGAGGGCAGGTGAGGAAGGGGGTCATTCTCCCCTTCCCCCTGTTCGACCCCATTGTCTCAGCCGCCCGCGGCCGGGGCCGGCTCTGTAACACGTGTTGACTGCACCGATGGGAATGGCTTTTATTATTATTATTATTATTATTATTCGTTTACAGAGTCCATAAGCCAACTTCGGCTCACCACGCTGCTGCCAGATGATTTCACACCGTTCAAAAAGTCGGGAGTTAAAAGACTACACCCAGCACCTTTGTGTCCCCCCCGCCCTTCCCCGATTTCCCGGCGCGCTGGGTAGCAACGGGACTGAGACGTGGGGGCGGGGAGGGTTTCCAACTCGCCGTGTCTCCTCCACCTTCAAAACCCACTCTCCCAAATCAGTTTTGTTCTAGCTAGCCACGTGTTGGTCGGATTTTTGTTTTTGTGACTTTTTTTAACCTCATGAAGCAGCGGGAATTAAAATAATAAGCTATTAGTTGCATAGTAGGAAAAAAAAATGTTTTCTGCTCAGGAAGGTGGGAGAGAGCTGCATTTTTGCCCCTCCACGTACTCTTCGACATCCCCCCACCCCATTTGACTTCGTATTTGTCATCTCTTGCTCGCAGCATGATTTTTAAATAAACCAAGCCAATGAGCTGGAAAACAGTGCCTGCCACATAGTAGGCATTCAGTAAACATTTTTGAATGAAAAGCAAACTGAAGAGTAAAGAGAATTCAAGAAAATTAAGTCGGGGGCGGGGGGGGGATTTTTCTCTTGGCTAGAATGTGTGGGTCAGTTGCCTGGGGACTTGGGTTGTGAACGGGTGTGGATTTTTGAAAGGGCTGAAAGAAGGTCTCAAAAGCTGTTGGTCGACCTTGGCTTCTAAAATTGTAGCCCTTTCTCCCAATCTTTTGTTACTTCTGTTGGGGAATAAGAGGATAGCCAGCCAGGACAGCCTTGTTCCAAAACCTAGGTACTGTTACTCTTTTAGTTTAAATCTTTAGGTATTGATAAAAGCACCTCCCAGCTTATCTCCCTGGGGAACCTATCTACTGCTCTTCTGAAACAAATCAACAACCCTCAGAAAAAAATTGTCCAGACTTCCAAGTTCCTACAAACTGCAGCCCCCCGTCTTTTACTGTCACGGAGTCGAAGAGAAACAAAATTTTTAAAAAATACATGAATTCAATTCACTTTTAGGCTGATTTCCATTTAAAAATAGTCTAAATGTTAGCTGAAACTAATCAGCCTTTTAAAGATATTTGAAATAACAGTAGAGGAAAAATGGAAATTTCAAAGACTACTTCCAGTCTTTTAAAATCCTTTTAAATTATTTCATTAACAAAGTACCAGTTAATTGCTCAATTCAAACAGATTTTTTTAAACCAGCTGTTTCACTAAATTCTAATCCTCTTTCCACCCCCACCCTACCCACAACACACACAAAAAGGGGCTTCTGTGTTTATACTCTGAGCCTGCAAGAGCTGTAAAAATGCAAGAGAGGAGGCAACTGGGCTGAGATGCAGTTTTTAGCCCCCACATCAATTTTGCCTCAGTGACTTGGCTCTTTTAGGTTGGGGTTGGGGGAACTAAGTGCTGGTGACTGATGCTTTATCCCTCTGCTCTGAATGTGCCCAGCACTAAAATTAACCTAAAAGAATTCTGAGTTCTTTCTTGTCAGAACCCATTCCTAGGTTAGGGGTTGGAGTGATATCTTCATCTTCCTTTTTAGTGTTTTTCTTTATTTTTAGTATTAAAGACAACTAAAAAACGTGTTGCTTTTGGGGGGAAAATGTATCTTTATGGTAAAATTTAGTTTGTGTATGAGTTTAAAATACATGTACAGGAGAAACTTCTTCCATAATTTCATTTACTATGTAATATTCACTACTATTATTCTTAGACTTCTCGCTCTTTCTGTTCATTTTTTTCCAAGAAAAGTGTTGGGCTGAGTTTTGGAATGCAAGCACACTGAAACTCGACTCCATTTTAAAGATAGGATTCTGACCAGTTTCCTTCAAAGTGGGCATACAAATACATGCAGAGAGGGAAAAATATAAAAGAGTAAAGCCACTTTTTAACTAAAGTTAGAAATAGAAAATGGAAATCAATTCCAAAAAAAAAGAATAATGGTTATACAAAATTCAGTTTCTTTTTAAATGTTTCTTGCCAACACTGGTCAATTTGTAATAGTTTTCTATTTTTATGTCTTCATTTTGCACTGGCTTGTAGCCTAACACTTTTGCTGTACTGCCTCAAAGTTTTTGTAACTGTCAGTTTTATTTGGACATTAGACACAAATCATTAATCATTATTGTTAGATTAATAGGTTGTACCTTTTTTTTAACTTTTGACAACTAGTACAGGAGAAAAAAATAATGCAGAAGAGATATTTTTGCACATACATTTTTTTTCCTCTGTTGTATCCATTCCTTTGGATAAATCCCCAGAATATATGTAGCAATTTAAATCTAACATTTATCAGTGACTTTTCTATCTTAAAAGTTTAACATGTTTTTAGAGGGAAGGACACACACATTTAAAAAAAAGAAATAATTCAAGGTACTTAGGAAAATATATTAAAATAGAAATTTTTTATTTTGTGTTTGCTAATGAGTCGTAGTTAATTTTTAAATAATTATGGTTGCCCCAAAATACAGAAAAACAAAATATTGCAGCTTTGCCTCCAAAGTTTCTGGAGGAGTTTCACTTTTGTGTTGGTTTGGATTTTATTTTGTTTATTTTTGTTATTGTTTGCTTGTTTTATCATTGTTCCTGCCTTGGGATGTTTTGTTTCTTCCTGCAATTTGAGGTGTGGTTCTTTTTAAATGCCTATAAACTCTGAGAAAGTGTAAATTAGTTCCAGTTTAAAAGGACAGGCGGCATTTTCTCCTGTCAAATAAATAAAGATAATTATGTGTTTAGGCTATCTCATGAAATGTGATAGAACTGAACTAGAAAAGGAAATTTTCCTCCTTCAAATAACCATTCACTCAAAAGTGTTTCAAACCTCAAAAAGATGTTTTTTTATTGTAAAGCTAGGACTCAAGGGGAAAAGAAGTTTTAAGAACAGCTCTTTGTTTTACTGATCACACTGTGGGTGAGAAAACCTCTCACAAGGTAAAAACTAAAGCAGAGAAGTGAATCATTTATTCTGGCAACTTTTTAAAAATGGATGTTTCCAAACTCATTTTGCTAATAAAACTATTCCACTCGTCCCTGTTGACAAAATACAAGAAACTGTCAAGAACACACTACATTCTTACAGCTCTGCATTTTTTGTTTTACTTCAAAGTCATTTGGTTAAAAGATAATGAGTAACTTTGTCTCCTGTAGCACAAAATGCAAAATAGAGCCCTGGTTTCATTTGGAGGAAAACAGTACAGTTGAAGAAAAGATAAAGAAATGCTGTTTTTCAAAATAAG